TCCAATGGTCTTTCTTCCTTGTGGCAGTGACACAAGTTCCTAAGTCTTGTTCTTATGGAGAGCTTTAATTTCTTCCTGCATTGTTGCCATCCACAAAGATGCATCTGTGCCATTTATAGCTTCATGAAAAGTTGATGGCTCTCTATCTTCTGTTAGAAGACAGTATGCAACATTACTCTCCATAATATACTCCGAATGCCAAGTCGGTGGTCTTCTCTCACAAGTTGACCTTCGAACTTCTGGAGCCTCGGACTCGACCGGTTCTTGTACATCATGCTCCGGTGTTGCTTCAGAAGAATTCAGATTATCTTCTACCTAAACAGCTACAGTCTCTGAGTCCTTCCTCGAACTGCTTTCTTTCTCTTCACTTTGTAATTGGTTCTCTACAAAGATAACATCTCTGCTGATGATAACCTTGCGGGCAGTGGGATCCCACAGGCGATACCCCTTTACTTCATCAGCATACCCCAAGAATATGCATTTTCTGGATTTTGAATCCAGCTTTGTAATTTCTTGGGCATTGTACATTACGTACACTGGACTTCTAAATATATGGAGGTTGGAATAATCAGTTGGCTTGCCAGTCCATATCTCCATCGGCGTCTTCAATTGTATTGCAGTTGATGGAGATCGATTCACCACATAACAGGCGGTTTTTACTGCTTCTGCCCAAAAGACTTTTTCCAGATTTACAGCAGCTAACATAGCTCTTGTTCTTTCCAACAGAGTTCTGTTCATCCGCTCCGCCACTCTATTTTGTTGAGGAGTATAAGCCGTACTGAATTGTATTTTGATACCTTCTTGCTTGCAGAATGCTAGGAATTCACCGTCTGTGTATTCTCCTCCATTATCTGACCTCAAGCACTTGATCTTTTTCTCAGATTCAAGCTCGATCCGCGCTTTGTAGGCTTTAAAGACTGAGAACACATCCTCCTTCTTCTTGATAGGATACACCCAACATCTCCTGGAGTAATCATCAATAAAGGACACAAAGTACTTTGCTCCTCCTAAGGATGTAACTGGTGCTTGCCATACATCAGAATGAACCAGTTCCAGAATAGCCTTATTTCTAGAACTCGATGCGTTGAACTTCAGTCGATGATGCTTGCTTGTAACACAATGCTCGCAGAATGGAAGAGCTACTGAATTAAGACCAGGAAGCAGCTTCTGATCGGAGAGAACCTTCAAGCCTCGTTCTGACATGTGGCCTAGCTTGCGATGCCACATCATGGTTTGTTTTTCTCCACAGCTGGTTGATGCTACACATGAATCAGCTTCCTGCAGAGTTTCTCCCTTGAGCATGTATAGTTTTGCAGCTATCTTCTCTCCTTTTATCACCACAAGCGCCCCTCTAACAATCTTCATGATCCCATTTTCGATATGGGTCTCACACTCGAGCTCATCTAATTGTCCCAAAGACAATAGATTCTTTTTCAAGCCCTTCACATGTCGCACATCTTGAATGGTGCGTATTATACCATCAAACATTTTGATTTTGATAGTACCAATACCACAAATCTCTAAGGCATGATCATTCCCCATGAATACAGATCCTCGTGAGATAGGTTCATATTTGTGAAACCATTCTCTCCGAGAGGGTGCCAAGAGGCTGCTGAATCTAGAAGCCAGACATCAGCAAACTTCTTTCTGCCTTCATCAACAGTGGTTGCTCCACTGAATAGAATTTCACCATCATCTGACGTGCTGACAACGCATCCTTGAGATGTTGATGGCTCTGAAGACTTTTTATCTCCACTCTTCTTGTTGTGCCAACACTCCGATTTGACGTGTCCTCTTTTGTCACAGTTGTAGCATTTGATATTCTTCTTACTTCGTGATTTTGATCTACCATGGGCATGACTCCCACTAGAGCCTCGTTCCGTTAATCTTCCTCTCGTCACCGACAAAGCCTCCGCTTGCTGCGAACTTGACTGCCTGTCTTCCTTGTTCTTGCGCCGATTTTCTTCCTCCAGAACAGCGGCTGCAACATCGTCGAAAACTAGATAGTCCGTGAGGACGTTGTTTGTCAAGTTGATGATGAGCTGATCATACGAGTCAGGTAGACTCTGAAGTAGAAGTTCTGCACGTTCATTCACACTAACTGTATACCCCAACGTTGTGAGTTGGGAGAACAGTGTGTTTAGGGTGTTGATGCGGTCGGTCATCGATGTAGATTCCGCCATCCTAAGAGTGTAAAGTCTCCTTTTTAAGAAGATTTTATTATGCATGGATTTCGCCTCATATAGTTTTGTTAGAGTATCCCAGATCTCCTTTGCTGTCTTCTTCTCCTCTATGCTTGACAGCACCCCGTCTGCTAATGCCAGATGGAGATTTGCAATAGCATTTTCGTCCATCTCGTTCCACTTCTTATCATCTGTGATGTCGTCCGGCCTTGCACTGATGGCCGCCAGGCAATTATCTTTTCTCAAGATATCCTTTATCTTCAACTTCCACAATGAGAAATTACTCTCGTCGAATTTCTCGATCTTGAACTTCGCCGCCATTGCTTCTACCACGAACAGTAACTTCTTACTATTTCACAAAAATAGTATTGTATTTATGAACAGTAACCGTATCTATGAATAGTATCGTACTTGTGAATAGTATTGTATTTATGAACAGTTCCGTACTCGTGAATAGTACCCGTCACCTTCAAAGGGTAATTGATAACCTAACTTATTTTCTGATGTGGAGGATCCACCTTTGGTGGCAGCCACAGAGCATACGATAAGTAGATATATACAAGTACCCTAAGTTGGCTCTGATACCACTTGTTGGGACAAACCTGGGGTCCAATAGAGCAGTGTCGCAGCAATAGTAGAGCAAAAGTAGAGATAAAAAGTTGGACACACAGATTTACGTGGTTCGACACTTGATTGCCTACGTCTACGGGTAAGGATAGAAGAATCCACTATAAGGAGAAAAACTCCGGAGTTACAAACTCTCTCTCTTTTGAAGGAGAAACTCTTTTTTTTTCCTCTCTCTCACTCTTCTATATAAGAAGTTGTTTCTGGGATGAGATTTCCTTAAGGATTTGGAACCTATTTATAGGATTTTGAAAAACACTATGCACAATAAAATATTAATATTTTACTATGCTGTGGGACCCGTCATTTTTGTTTTCTTTTTCCTCTTTAAACTTTGCTGCTGCTTCTTTCGGTGATTTGAAGTGAGGTAAAGCCCGCTCCAATTAATTGTCAACATTTGAGGCTGAAGCTGCATGCTGACATGAACTCCATAATCCAACAACACCCGTTGATCAAAGCATTACAACTGATGACACCAGGCAAAATACCCTCTTCCCTCACAATTTCAACCGGTTTATTGACCTCGTTCACCATCCCAAGCTTAAAATTTCTAGCAATCAATTTATTAAGCCAGACAACATCTCTCTCTAACTCATCTTCGAACTGACATCTCCAGGAACTACACAACACGATCCAACAATCCTTTTTTCGTATAGACCCCTTAATCAAAGTATTGCAACTAATTATATCTACTCCAACCCCCTTTTTCGACGAAACCCAACGGTAGATTCAACCCGTCCATGCTCACAGGAGCCCCAAATCACAAAATTAGGATCAGTTGCATCAATTTCCATAGTTCTTCTAATCAACCGAGAATTTTTTATAGCACACCCATTTTGCACAAACCATGAGTCATCACACTGTGAGAGAAAAAGTTGGGTTTATGATAATTGAGAAGGTCCGAGTAGATTACAAGTACTTGAGAGACTAGCTCTAAAGAATTAAACTGGTGAAGGAGGAGAATCCTTGAGTGAACAGTTCGATTTAATTGAGGGCACTTATTTGGGTGGATGCTTGTGATCCTTGATTGACATTGGAGCCATTTATGTAGGACTCGATGAGAGAGCAGAAGAAGTGTAAAGGGTAATTATCCATGTATGGGTAGTCTAGACTCAACCATGGTTTAGTAATTTTGACAATTAGTTGGCAGAAGGACCAATATCAACAACTTAAAGAGTATTTGAGGGACGTGTTGGAGTTATATAATAAAGATAACTTAAAACTTGGGCTTGTAGAGGAAAAGAGGAAAAGTTTAGTCCCACATAGGAAATGGGATAGAAAAAAAGGGTCTTTATAAGCCTTCCCTTTCTCTCCTATGCCTAGAAGAAAACAAAGGTTATGCTCCACACCACACATGCGCGCGCTGGCCTGGCCGGGCTCAGGTTCGGGTCGGGTGGAGTGCGTGGCCCATGACCTGCGGACACGAATGCAGCTTCGGATTAATGGGCCTTTAATCTGCTACATTTTTATTTTTGAATAATTAAAATGTAATATTTATTTTTGAACGATTAACATGTGATAAACGTTTTGTAACGGTTAAGAGAATTAAATTTTGAAACGGTAATATTCATGAGATTTAAATCAGAATCAAAACGGAAAATATTTTTTATGAGAATTAAAATCGGTAATTAAAATAAATTAATTGCGGATTTATGAGTAACGGATGTTTTAAGCCTATAAAAGGACCTAAATCTGTAGAGTTTGAGACAGTGTGAAAAACACAACATATTCTCTCTTCTTCTCTGTTATTCCTCTTCATATTACTGTTGTTATATTTTTGTTGGTTCCCTGAAAGTCACGAAGAATTCACAAAGCCTTCTTGAAGCTCGTGCCGACGAGAAGGAGGTCGCTTGACCGAGGGTCGTTGTATCTCCGGGAACTTTTGCCGCGTAGCCCTGTACGAGAGGGGGCAATTAGTTTCTTGGGACAGTGCTTGCACGCCTCGACCATCAGGCTATATTCTAAACTCAGTTTAATTTTATATCTATTTTGAATCATTATCTAATTCTGTTAAAACTGCATTTTGTGTTAATTATACTCTAAACAGCTTATATTCCCAACAGGACGGACATCAAAATATAAAGATTCGAGGGACTAATATCAAATTAGCTATGATTTAAGGGATTAATATCTAAAAACCCCTTTTATTTATTCAAAAGAAAAATGACATTCACCGAGCATTGCATTGCGAGATCACGAGCACAAAGGAGTATTATAGACTGGCTGCATATTAGGATAAAACAAACCCCAATTCTGCTCAATACCATCCGGCTTCTGATTCTCATTGAACAACGAAAACACATAAACATCACCGTATCCATTCGGACTCTTCGGACTCCCCGTGTTCTTCATATAATGCTCATATAGATTCGTAATATATGTACTCGCAAGCTGAGGAGTCGTAAAGTTTCCATTACCTGCAGAAGGCCATCCACTCTCACCCACGGTAAGACCGATATCTCCTCCTCCGATCTTCTCAAAAGCCCACACGAAACTATCAAACATGGCGTCAAAGAGATTCCAGTATGTCAAGTTTCCGTCCTGGATCCCTGGCTGTGTTGCCTGAAACAGCGCAAAATCTAGCGAAACATGGTCCGGGTCGCTAGCGTACGCGAAATAAGGGTATATGTGGACATACAACGACAATTGATATCCCGGTGGCAAGGTGTGGATAAACTGTACTATATCTGTCAGAATGTCAACGGAGTCTGACGTGAATGTTGACTGCGACGGAGGATAGGTGTTGGTGAGCGCCGCACTTGATATCGTTGTTGTTACCTTAACTTCTGGCTTGGATGTCTGGTCCAGTGCTGCGCGAATGTTGCGCATAGCGGGTAGCACGTATTGTGCATTTTCGCCAGGGATAACCTCATTGCCAACAATTATGTCCAGAATGTTTTCGTAAGGGACATAATTTGTGCTGATCCAATCTTTTGCGAAATCAGGACTAGACGCGAGCTGTAATAGATCTTCGTTTCGTGTCGCTATCGATACAAGTTGACTAGAGTTTAAACTCATAATTTCTGGATGGGGTTCGTATAGTCGAAATTTTGCGATGCCACAATTTTGTACGAGATTTATGGCGTCAGCTGGTGGCGGGAGATTGTTTGCCACCATGCCGAAACATATGCAAAAATTAGTTGATGGAGCTGAAAATGGATGAAAAAATTAAGCTTAGAGCTTGGCAATTGATCAGTTTTTTGGTGATATATCACTTAAATATATATCCATATAACATATACCATATAATGTTTTTCCTCTTATACAGATTTCTAATCCTTTCTATTCAAAAACCCGTTAGCAAGATCAATTTTCTACAGTTGTGCTCGGAGACAAAAAGGAAAATTCTTGTCTAATCTTCAATATAACTTTCATGGTTTGAGCTAAACAAGCAAAAGAATATCATTAATCGATATGTAGACCAAATTTTAATGATAAAATAAAAGTAGACTTGAATAGAAAATGCTACTCAAAATTTTGCTAGTTTCTACTAACCTCTATTCTTCTACCAAATATATAGGATTAGTATAACTTCTTCCGCTATAGAATTAGATATCTTTTGAATATTTCTTTATTCATATTTCTTCTCAGTTAGATCTGAGATGTCTATATAATGGTGCACATAAAAATGACAAGTCTACAGGTTAAAAGTTATTATTTAATGATTCTGTTGTCAGGTGCAAAGTCATTTACCTCCCAAAGTTACATTGCTAGATATCAAGATCCATGCAAGAAATGAAAGCCACGTCCTAAAATATATCTCCATTTCTGACAATTTTATCTTTATTTCTTTAATTTTACCTGCACCAAGAATTCAAATTATTTGAACAGAATAAAACTGTTGAAGAGTGTTCCCTTTTAAAAATGTTCAATTTTTTGGGTTTTTGTAATTATGCTCCTCAAATCATGCATATTTGAAGAATTGATACCCAAACCTCTGTAATTCAGCAACTTTGAGGTAAAAACTCAAATCAACAGAATTACTTTGATATATAGACTAATTTGTAAATGCAATGTAAAATTATCAATAATAAAGTCAAACGCTTTAACCCACCATATCGCAATGAAGTGATGATTGTTGTGAATTGGCTGGTTTTTTCCCGGGCTTGATGCTTCAGGGTTGTTTTGCAATACAAAAGTTATAGTTGGGTAGTTTTGCCAATAATCACGACTACTTTTTTTTGGTTTTTTTGGGGCGTGTGTGTGTGTGGGTGGGGGGGGGGGGGGGGGGTTGGGGGGTAGTTAACAGATATATTGTAGTTGCAGCGACAATAAATAAACAAAATGTTTTATTATGCTATTTGCAGTAAGAAAGTTAAATTTAAATAATGGTACAAATAACCACTGTAGTTTGTAGTCGCGTAGTAAATTTCAGAAAACACCCGTTCAATGGCTGTTTTTCAGATAACCTGCCTTAACTTTCAAAATAGATGAGGAGTTCTCCCTGTTAAACATGTTTCAATATTTTTGGGTTTTTGTATATATAACATGTAATCATGCATATTTGCAAAACCATCTCCAAGTTTCATTATTTGCAAAACTATCCTCAATTCAGGAAGTTTAAAAACAACCTCCAAATCAACAAATAAACAAATTTATAGCCTAATTCGTAAATGCAAAATAAAAATAGATTTAACTCATCATATTCAACGAAGTCGATAATTTGTTGATTTGGGATTTTTTTTGCAAACTTGATGATTTAGGATAGTGTTGCAAATATGAAAAAGTGATGGGTAGTTTTACAAATACATGACGTAGGGGTCTATATGAAAAAACTCTATCTATATGGCTATGAATGCGTTAGATTCAGGTTAGACGGATAATATTTTATGTAAAGACAAGTAATAAACAAAAGGTTTTATCAAGCTATTTGCAGTGAAAATTAATTAAATAATAGCACAAATAGAACATTCTAAATATGTAACAAATTTCTCAGAAAATTATACCCATTAAGTTTGACCGTTTATAAGATAATATTCCTTAACTTTCAAATCTCCTTAAGTTTTGGGGGTGGGGTCCAAGATTCCGCCCCCCCTCCCCCCCCTCTCAACATTTAGTATTTTCTGAAAAAGATCAACTAACAGTGTTACCGCAGCGTGGGTAAAATTAGGAATGAGAATATTTTTGTTAGTCAAAATTATGGTTCACACAAGGAGGTTTTCTGATAACCTCAAAATTTAAGGGATGTTTGGTGAGATTTTAAAAGTTAATGGTGGGTTATCTAATAAACGTCCAAACTTAAGGTTTTTTTTTGAAATTTACCCTATTTTGTAAGTAGCAAACGTCATATCATCAAAATTTGATATTATTGTCTTTTTTTTTAGAAAATTTTCTTATTTTGTATCTCATGATGAAAAAGAAATTTTAACAAAAAAAAGGAACTTGACAAAGTCGTTGCACAGAGAAATACTTGGAAAGCTCTCATCGTCATGGAGAGCTTGAAGGCCAAGCTTCTCTATAAATTCAGAGATTTCAGCTGGAACGAGACAGTGGTGTACATAGATAGTACACACTATCTGGTGTGCTACTCCAACCTACTTAGACCCTCAGATGCAATAGACAAAGGGAGATCAACTTGGGGGTGTGTTTTGGATACTTCTCTCCATGGACAGAGAACATGGGTGCCTCTATGTTGGCCTCTTTGTTTTGATGATGTTTAACAAACAATTTATTATTAATGTTATTTGTCTAGTATTCATATTTTCTTATTTATTATAGACAAACAGTTGGAGGATGGATGGAATTGCGCATTCACGATCATATCCAATGGAGGTTGGAGGAATTGTTGTTGAAGTTACGCTATTCAAGTTAAAGATACAAGTTCAAGCTTCATCTGCAAGAGTACCAAGTTGAGCTACAATGAAGATCAAGATCAAGCTTGGGTAATGTAGTTTAGGTTTTATATTATGTGTGTTAGTACTTTAAGCTCAATCATCTATACACACACACTTATTGGTTTCTTCGTGTGTTTGTTTATGGACTTAATAACAATCATATACATCTTTTATTAAGTCTACAAAATCATTTTGTATTGTTTTAAAATATGGTCAAGCTAAAATGTCAAAACTCATATGTTCACATTTTCATATTTTGGACTATTTTGCAAAATGATGATTTTCATAAATGGGAAATACAATTTGGTAAATTCTTTTTGTAACATGTTCATTTACATGTTTATATACATTTTTCAAAGTTTCATTACTTTTGGACTTCATTTGTTATTTTTAACATATTTTTAAAAGTCTCAAAAACTGTTTTCAAAACCTGTATTTTAGCATGTATCAGTTCGCGGTCGCCCGCCACGGTCGACCGCCTGCATTGCCTTTTTATGGCTCGCAGTCGATCGTGACGGTCGACCGTGGCTTATCCAGAGAATTTCGCGGTCGACCGCCGCGATCGACCGTCAGCTTTTCAAAATTGTTCTTTTGGATTTTGTGCTTCACAGTCGACCGCCAGTTTCTCACAGTCGACCGCCGAACTGATGATTGCTTTCCAATGGCTATATTCTGATTTGATTCTCTGGGGGTATTTTGGTCTTTTCAATGTTATTTTGGCTGATGTTTTGAGTGGGTATAAATACCCTATTGCCTTCAGCTCTTCAAAAACAAGAGAGTGTATTTAAAACAAGTTTAAAGAGTTTTAAATAAGGGTAAGTGTTGTTTAAGTTTCTTTAAGAAGCTTTTAAGCACTTGGAAGTTTGAGTTTGTAAAAGCAATCTCACAAGAGCTTGAGGAGATCATCTATTGGTGTTTGAGCATCCAACTATTCTCCCTCTACCTATTGATCTATTGAGAAGTTCTATAAACTCTATTTCTAGCTTTACATCTATTTATTTGATTATCATTTTATTAAAGGTAGTTTTATATTGAGTTTAGTTGATTTGATTTCACTCATTGTTTACACACACCTACTTGAGCTTATTGTATTTGCATACATTGTATATTTGGGTTAGTGAGAGTTGTAACAATTGAGTATGAGCTTTCATTGTGTTCTCATCCGTATTAGAGAACAATTATTTATTGTAATTGTGCTTATTGTGAGGATCACCTTGTAATACACTTGTACACCAAGAGAAGTGTGTGGCGAGAGTCGAGGATCGTCCCAAGAGGAGTGACGTCGGTTGACGAACCTAGGGAGAGGTTGTATCCGAACACTTGAGGGAGACATGTCTAGTTCAACACTTGAGAGGGTGTAGAGTAGGATTACAAGAGTGTGTTAGTTGTAGAGTTTTCGGTAAACTAGAAAACCGTATTGTGAGGTGTAAACGTTGTTCGGGTAAACATAAAAAACCCGGATGTGATAGTGGAGATCTCCTCGAGGTGAGGAGCGGAGACGTAGGTCAAGCAGTTAGACCGAACTCCGTGATCATATCGTTTTGTTTGTGATTGCATTGGCGTTCTTATTCTTGTATTCATATCTTATATCGCCTTTGTGTATTGCTCTTCATATTGCCCACTATCTAGTTTACATTATTTACCCTTGTATTGTTTATATATCATTGCTCATATATTTGTAATATCTCATTGCTAGGATATATTCATTAGTTCATATTGCCTATCCTAGCTCATGTATCTTGTTGTATTTTACACTTGCTAGGATAACTTGTTATTAGTTTTAATTGGCATAAAATCGGATTAGAATAGCATAAGACCCTCATCACCCCCCCTCTAGGGTCCAACACTCTATAGTGCAGAAGTATTTCTACACTTGGATTAAGATCAAGAACCTCTCTTTCCATTTATGATCTCTCGTAATCATGGAGAAGATAGTGAGTGCCTTTGGGAAAATCAAAGAGGTTGTACAAACTTCTACTCCAACAAGACGGCGAGAGACATGAGGATTTTGATAAAAGTCTCCAGCCTTGAAGACATACCTAAGAAGGTTATTTGCTCATCTATCTCAAAGTTAGATGAGTTCAAGAGGGAAGCTATTCTGGAGATCGAACCCATTGGGGTTTGCTACAAATTGGAGCAGTTGGGTCCAAATTATGAGTGACTGCTTGTGCAAGGGAAATTGTTGGTTGAAAGTTCGTGGAGTGAGAAGAAAGCAGAGGAAGAGAAAAGAATTTTGAAGAAACCGATGCAGGGATGTGGGTTGGTATAGTGGTGGATAAAGGTAAATCTTTAATGGGAGATTCTGTGGGTTGGTAGATCAAGTAGGAGACATCATGGTCCAGGAATCTCCTCT